TGTCAGGGAATGAGGTAGATATGTCCCGTTTTATTGAAGGAAAGGAACGGATGGGCAAAATATATCGAAACTGAATGAAACTTTCTAGGTAAGTAAGCGAGTTACAGATCTTTGTATAGCCGAAAACCGTTTGTCATTCGGAGTTATGATCTGAAAGTTATTGGGATTTTTATGGGACTGATCTGTGGAGAGTTAGCATACGACCAGTCGATTTCACAAGTGATTTCTAGCCAATTATGGAAGAACTAGATGTTGACCTGGGCGTCATTGGAAAGACCACAGATTCTAGTTTCTGTAGCATCTTTCAGATTTGAATTATGAGGTATGGTCTGCTCGCAAATCGTGTTTCAATGTTGAGAAAAATCACTGTTTCTGAAACTGGAATTTCTATTCTTAAATCCGATCAGAGGACTTTCAAGCTGATTTATTGTCGTTATCTAAGGACCCAGAAGACGATCTGGATATCATTGGAAAGCTCTGAGTCTTGGCTTTCCAGAGGCACCGAGTTTGTCTTGATCTGAGGTAGGTGTAAGAAATTATTGCTGTTTTCGTCTGACTGGTATAATTTGGCTGAACCGAATAAACATTTTAGACGTTTAATAATGGAATGTTAAACATGGTTTCCTAATCGCAGATTCGCAGTAGCTCATTATTCCATGTTCATTCTTCCATGTCAATATATCCATAAAGCTAAGGTGAGGGTGTTGTCTAGATTACTTTAATACTAGTTAAGATGTTCTTACATGTTAGTCTAGGAATGGAATGTGATGTTATTGTTTATATATGCTAAGTCTAGAGATGCTTGATGTTTGCTAGTTGCTATGTGGTAGTTTGTAATATTGTTTGATGTGTGGAAACTGTTTGAAAAGTTGTATGGTGCTAGGTAAAGAAAGAATGTTAGGACTGAAATTATTGTTTGAGATTGTAGATAGGATATATAGTTCTGCGGACGATCGCGTATGTAACCCATTGCAGAACTTTGCTTGTTGGACTACGGACGATCGCGTATGTAAGTCCGTTGTAGTTCCATTAGGCCTTAGAGGGCCATGACGGGGAGGGCAGACCCAAAACGCAGGTAAGGGGTTGGCTCCACCGTGATTTATT